ATATCAATTTTCAAGTTAACATTTGCAATCAATTGATTAAAAAACTTGCATTTTCTAATATATATTTTTAATAGTATTAAATTTTGTATAATTAATAAATTAGTGGAAAATACTCAATCAATCCATATATTAATATACATGTGTGTCTCGTGATATTAGGATCCACCCCACCATTAATAATTAGCTGTTTTGCAGTCCATGAAGGATGGACTGCTAAACACCATTTTGTATATATAGAGATTAATATTTATCAGTTGGATTTGTGAAAATTTTAGAGAGAAAATATTATAAAATTACGTTGTTTTAACAAACTCTCGTTACAAAAACTAAATAGGTTATTTTTTAAGTAAGAATAAAAGTGTTTTAATCTTTTATATGATATTTTATTAAAATGATGTAATTTTAAAATATTTTTTTCCATATTTTTTTGAAATTTCGGCTAATAATACTAATCTCAGATATATGCGTATGTAAGAGAGAAAAGGGATTAAGTTGCTAATTAATATACGAGTAAGGTTTAAGTTTCACATAATTCTTAAACGAAATCTTCACCAGATATAAAAAATGTAATCTGCTGAAAGAATCAACGTTGGTAACCTTTTCATTGAGATGAACTAGAAGCCAAAAACATAGCCTCACACAACATTCCTTCCCATCTTCAGAATCTAAATTCACTTAGAGCCTTATCCAATCCACTGCAGCATTCGTTCTTACATTTTTGCTTAATTCTTTCTAACAATTTAAAGACTTTTGACAACAAAAAATCCATTTAACCTATGATTTTCCAAATTTGATAATAAAGAACTCTGAGACTTAAAAAAATCATTAAATCCTGCCATTAAATATAACTGACTGGCTACAGATTTAGTTATTCAAAAAAATAAAAAATAAAAAATGATAACCGTTCAAAGAGGAATATATCTCTGAATGTGGTTGGTTCCCCTTTGCCAATATTTATTGTTTTGGGTGTAATGGAAGCCAAACTACAAAAATGATTTTTCAAAAAATAATTTAAAAATGAGTTTTATTTTTTTAAAAACTAAAACAGTGTATCAATCATGTGATCATATTCAATTCTAAGCCAATTGACACACAAAAGTAAGTCCATCTTGGAATGGATCATCATCAGTACTACCGAGATAAAGCATTCAAAGCATTCATAAGAAATTAACTTCTTAATATAATCAACAATTTGGGTAACAAACCAATTAGTAGATATCAATTAACTTAAGAATGAAATGGAAGAAGAGTAAACTGAGCAAGGGCACCCATATGGCGCACCAACTATTCAGGACTTTGTTAGTCCTCAGTCAAAGCACCTCTTTGTGTCTGCTGCTTTATTATATATATGTATGTATATGAATATAGGATTTCACATTTAAATTATTAATTTTAAAAATGCAGGAGGTTGAAGGACTTGTTGGGCAGTATCATAAAGATGCTAAAAACAATAATGGCGAAACTGCTTACCAAGTTTTTGCTAGAGAGCACAAGGGTTTGCTTAAAGAAGCAGAGGATTGGATGAAAGGATTAGCAAATTCATATATAATTGTTGGCGCTCTCATTATCACCATAATGTTCGCAGCAGCTTTCACCCTTCCTGGGGGTAACAATCAGAATGAGGGCTCTCCAATGTTATACATAATATCCGATGCAATCTCTCTTTTTGCTGCAACGGCCTCAGTATTAATATTTTTGGGATTTCTCACGGCACGTTACAACATGGAAGATTTCCACAAATCTATTCCTAATAAGTTGATGGGTGGGCTTTCTACATTGTTTATATCTCTTGCAGCAATGATGGTAGCATTTTGCTCGGCTATCTTTCTCATGCTAGAAGACCGATCGTGGATTATCATTCCATCTGTGTTGCTTGCAGGCGTTCCAGTCAGCTTGTTTGCGTGGTTGCAGTTTCCTTTGCTGGTTGAAATTTGTGTTTTGACTTACAGATCACCAATTTTCAAGGAGAAAACATCCTTGGCAAGCAAAATAAAAGCGCTCTTCTGTTGGAAAGAGAAGATTGAGTAGGTCTAGATGAGGCTTTGTTTTATGTTTGTCTTTGTTGCTACTCCGACTACAGAAACTTCTAAGGTCACCTTGTTATGCTTGAGTAGATCCAGATGAGTCTTTGTTTGACTTATGTTTTATGCTTTGTTGCAAGTGAACTTTAATTTTATGTCCACTTTTGTTATGGAACAGAATTCTTGTGGTGTCTAATTTTTCTGAGTTCATATTAGGAAATTGGTGTTTGATGTTGGGTGTATGGCACTTTTTTTTTTTTTCTTAAAAAGGGGTTCGTGGTGCTTAGCTTTTGCTCTTCAAACGTCAGTTCTGCAAAACTAAACTAGTGATGAGGCAAAAGAAAACGCAGTCAAAAATGTTGAAGAAATAATAACTGTAACTATCAAATATAGGATATCAACTAGCTCTCAAATGTTCTTTAACAATTAAACCAAACAAGACTATATTACCATTTTACCTTTTGATTTACATAACATTGCATGCCACTGCCAATCCTCAATCCTTGCTTATTAGTGAGCATATACATAAATTAATGGAGCATACAAACGTATAGTAGGCTTCTGTCCTAGTGCTACTCATCCAATTTGATACATCAAATGCTTTAGATATGTATATGCTTGCTATCATCGAAACTTCTATTGATTGTTATCCTTTTGTTGGCATCTCCAATGTCCA